CTGGCACAGGGGAGGGATTATCTTGTTTTGTATGGGAGTGTCTTGGACACTGGAGGAACTACCGCGATCGTAGGGGTCGCAACTGCGACCGGGCCCATCACTCCAGGGGGCCCTGCTGCCCTGCGGACTGCTGCGACAGCGGGTCCCGCCAGCTGAGTAATGTGGCCCCGGCCCTGCATTGAAGGTGCCCATTGGGTGGTCCATGCTGTTAGGGCCACCTCCTCCCCCCCCCGACATCAGAGGTTGGGAGGAAGTGACTGCACCAGTCACTTCCTCCCAGCAATCACCGGGAACTCTGACTCCCATCAGGCTGAGCCACCACTGGACCCCAGGGAAAGGTATGTGTGTGTGTATGTGTGTCTGTCTGTCTATGTCTGTATGTGTGTCTGTATGTGTGTGTGTCTGTGTGCCTTTATGTGTATGTGTGTGTGTCTGTATGTGTGTGTGTGTGTCTGTTTGTATGTATGTATGTCTGTGTGTGTGTCTTTATGTGTGTCTGTCTATGTCTGTATGTGTGTGTGAGTCTGTCTGTGTATGTGTGTGTCAGTCTGTCTGTGTATGTGTGTATGTCTGTGTGTCTGTATGTGTGTGTATTTCTGTATATGTGTGTATGTCTATGTGTCTGTGTGTGACAGACCCTCTGTCCCTGAATTTAAAATTGTAAACCCTTTGTTCGTCTAACCGTTTGAATGGTATAAAGTCTGCTTCGTTTTATTATTGGCTGTTCGAATAACGAAAGATCTACCGAACGACTGACCACTCAGACCTGGAGCATGGCACTTGTTAACCCCATTGAGCTTATTAACAACTCTCAAAACCACGAACATCCTAACATTCTAAGTGATCAACTGGGTGGTCGGTGTTTGTATGCATGAACACGTGGCGGCGGCCATCTTGGGATACGAATGCGGCCAGCAGTGTTTTGTCGACGATTGTATGGAACTAAAATCGAACACTCGACGGCACAAACACTGCAGAGACTTCCACTCCTCATTCTGTTCGACGGTAATTGCACGAATGGAGTGCAGTTCGTCAGATATAATATACCAAACCAACTACACTCCATGCCTCTATGTACGAATTTCTACATTCGACTATTTTAATGTACTTTGACTGTGCGAAAGAGACCGACCACACAGCCTAATCCTCTGGAACTATTTTGGGCATGAAACCATGCATGCGGTTGGTTGTGGTTGGTCAAAAAGAGACTTCCACCTAACTCTTGAACCCCTGAACCGATCTGGGTGATTTTTCAATATGTTGTTCCCATGGGCGTAGGAACCGGGGGGATGGGAGGGACAGGTTATGGGGAAATCCCCCCGAGCCCTGCCGCCCCCCCCCCCATGCTGCAGCCGCCCGACCGCTCTATAGAGAGCACGGGCGCAGCCTGAGGAGAGGGGCTGACAGGAGGGAAGCGCTCAGCGCTCCCTCCTGTCACTCCCTCACTGTAGCGTGGCCGAGCCCAGTATCATGGTCCGCGGGTACAGGGAGCATCTGTCTCCTGTACCCGGCTGGACTAACAGGAAGTGGCCGGGTACAGGAAACAAAAGCTCCCTGTACTCGCGGACTATACTGGGCTCGGCCACGCTACAACTGAGGTAGGGAGGTGGGGGGGGGAGAGTGACAAGGAAGGGAGGGAGGGGGAGAAAGTGACAAGGGAGGGAGGGGGAGAAAGAGTGACAAGGGAGGGAGGGGGAGAAAGGAAGGCGAGGAAGTGGAGGAGGGGAGAAAGTGACGAGGGGAGGGAGGGGAGAAAGAGGACAAGGGAGGAGGCTGAGAAAGGCCAGGAGCCCTCGCCATTCTCCCTCCCCTCGTCATTTCCTCCCGTCGCTCTCCCTCCCTCCCCGACAAGCGTGAGTGGGAGTGGGAGGGGAGCAAAAAGATAGCCGCGAGGAGTGGTGAGAGTGGAAGGGAGGAGGGGAGAAAGAGTATGGCGCAGGAGGGAGAAAGAGTGACAAGGGAGGGAGAGAGGGGGAGAAAGAGAGTGATAAGGGAGGGAGAGGGAGAAAGAGAGTGACAAGGGAGGGGGAGAAAGAGTGACAAGGGAGGGAGAGTAAGAGTTTTAAGGGAGGGGGGGGGAGAAAGAGAGTGACAAGGGAGGGAGGGAGGGGGAGTGTGACGAGACCAATCTCGCCACATTGCATTGGAGAAGCCTATTTGCCAGCCTCCTTCCACATGACTATGGCCCCTGGGAGATGGTGAAAACGTATGCACTTTTATTGGGTGTGTATGGCCCTTTAAGACAGTCAGTGGGCATATTGTGGCTTATGGACTCTTTATGGGACTGGTGCTGGCCCTTTAAACACCTTTTTGGGACATCAGGAAGATTGGGACACTGCCCCTTTAAGACGGTGTCCCCAGATTTGTTTGGTACACTGCCCCTTTAAGACGGTGTCCCCTGTGTCCCCAGACCTGGTTAAAATCCTTTGTGCCTGGCTATTTCCCACTTGGTTCAGTAAATGGGGCTTACTGAACCAAGTACCACACAGGCAGACCACCCAGAAGTGGAAGTGTGCAGGCAATTTACCCGCAGCTTAATTGACAATGCTGGGTGGCCTTTGTTCGTTTGCCGAACACGTGGCGGCGGCCATCTTTGTTAATGCGAACGAGGCCAGCGGTATGTGTAGCCAAATTCATGGAACTAAAATCGGCTACACATTTCCGCGAACACCGCTGAGCTCTACCTTCTCCCATACTGATTTTACAGCCGCAGAGACTGTCCCATTCAGCGATGGGACTTAGTCGTTTTTTCAGCCTGAAATAGACCGACCGCACAGCCCAAATCTATGGAACTGTTTTGGGCATGAAAATGTGCTTGCTGTCGGTCATAAAGGGTCCTCCAGCTAACTTTTTAACCCCTGGATGGATTTGTCTGATTTTTGGTTATGTTTAAAGTGTGCTGATTAATAATATGTAAGTTTTATGAAGATTGGATGTATAGTTTTAAAGTTACAGTGTATGGATAAAAAAACTGTATTTTTACTGCCTGTGTTAATTATGTTAAACCATTGTGCAACATAATTATATCATAGGCAGAGGGGAGGATTTTTGTGTGTAATTGCTGGGAGTGTTTCTGTAATGTACGTTTATGATTGGTTGTTGTGTAAAACCCTGTAGGCGGTACTAATGTGTATATAAGGACAATAAACCCACAGCTCTGTCTGTTCACTGCTTAACCCTCAACACAGAGCTTTGTCTCGTTCTTGGGGGGATTTACTGTATGCTGTTAGAGACTGATTGCCAGGAGTGTAAGCTGCTTGGGTGCTTTTCCTGTTCAGCTGATAGCAGCTATTCATGAGGTTCCAGTTCTGGAATTTGGAGTGCTGCTTGGTATCCTGTTCGGGAGTTTGGTGTTCTGCAGTAGCTGTGCCTGCATCTCGGAAAGAGGGACGATCGCCTAAACAGTTTTTAACCCTTGTGTGCTGAAACGGTCCGTTACAATTGGTGGCAAGCGGCGGGATCATTCCCACAGACAACAGGACAGCTACAGGCGACACCATTCCGTGGATTTACAATTTGAGGGCAACGCATGTCTGAGTACAGCGACCCTGACAGCAACAGAATGGAACCAGCAGTGTCATACGAGGAGGGGGACCTGGATGGCCGGGATGCATTAAGGAAAGGCATCTGGTACCAGGCCCTGGATAATGTACAATACCAGCGGGGCGAGAGTCTCCCCAGTGAAGAGGAGCGGTTGCAGAAGCAAGTTGCCCTGCGGATGCCCTTCCTGGGAGAGCAGCCCCTGGATGAATGGGTGAAGGAATTGGAGCACCGGGTATGGCAGGAGATTTGGCTGGAAGATGCCTACCAGGCGCTCTGGTGATATGGGGCACAGTACCTGCCCTGGACAGCTGAGCATGACAAGCCAGAGGGAGAGGAGTTTGATGGTCCTGGTTTGTTATGGGAGGCTTTTTCAGAGCCTGAATTTGGGATCCCTACACAAGCCCGGTTCAGTGATCTCTTGGAGTGGAGGGAGAGCAGGTATGACTGGGACGACACTCACGACATTGAGCAACACCTGGCTCACCTAGCAACCCTGGAGTGGGAACTGGAGCAGGACTACCGAGATCTCTTCCACTGAAGGCTCAGCAGGACAGCAAGGTGACAGAGCCAGTTCCAGACCCATTCAGCTGGGAAGACATTGTTGAGATTTACTGGGAAGAAACCCAGGTGGCGGGTGGAGATGGGACAGAGGTCTCTCCACCGATATTGCACGGAATTGGGAGCCCAAGCTTCATTCCCCAGCGGGAGATATTGCAGGGAATTGGGAGCCCGAGCTCCATTCAGGGGATGTAGCTTTTGTGGGGGTTTATGTATTTTTAAGGTACTTTTGGCGTGTTTGGGAAATGTGTGGTTTTTGTGCCTGGAGAAAATTGAGTTTAATACAGTGCTGACTCAATTATCTTCCAGGCACAGGGGAGGGTTTATCTTGTTTATATGGGAGTGTCCTGGACCTGAGAGGCAATGTGATTGTGTGAATGTTGTTACTGTGGTTTACTCTCAGGTCCAGGTGGGAGTGCCCCTCGCGCGCCGGCTGCAGAGTGAGGCTGGGAGCCGGAGGATGACGTCAGTTAGCCGCGAGGCTAACTAGGCATTTGCCCTGGGCATTTGGGGGGCGGCGTTTTTTGCCGCCCCCTGAAAAATGCCGCCCAAGGCAAATGCCTTGTTTGCCTCGCGGCTAATACGCCCCTGAATGTATCCCCTACACAAACCTCAATAGGAATTCCTATACACTACATTCCATAAACACACACACACACACACACATAATATCCTCAGTCTACAATAACACACAACACGTTCCCTACACACATACACTCCACTCCCTGTGAGTGGACTCATTGGCGGGCCTTGTGGGCAGACATTGGGGTGGGCCCAAGCCTTGAAGAAGTGTAAGGAGCCTCAACATTTCTGATGAAAGCCCTGTAACCTGGCACAGCATGGAATAGCAGAGCGGATATACCTGGCACAGGGTGAAATAGCAGAGCCGGTATAACCTGTCACAGCATGAAATAGCAGAGTTGATATAGCCTGGCACAGTGTGGAATAGCAGAGTGGGTATAGCCTGGCACATGGTGAAATAGCAGAGCCGGTATAACCTGTCACAGCATGAAATATTAGAGTTGATATAGCCTGGCACAATGTGGAATAGCAGAGTTGATATAGCCTGGCACAGTGTGGAATAGCAGAGTGGGTATAGCCTGGCACATGGTGAAATAGCAGAGCCGGTATAACCTGTCACAGCATGAAATATTAGAGTTGATATAGCCTGGCACAGTGTGGAATAGCAGAGTGGGTATAGCCTGGCACATGGTGAAATAGCAGAGCCGGTATAACCTGTCACAGCATGAAATATTAGAGTTGATATAGCCTGGCACAGTGTGGAATAGCAGAGTGGGTATAGCCTGGCACATGGTGAAATAGCAGAGCCGGTATAACCTGTCACAGCATGAAATAGCAGAGTTGATATAGCCTGGCACAGTGTGGAATAGCAGAGCGGATATACCTGGCACAGGGTGAAATAGCAGAGCCGGTATAACCTGTCACAGCATGAAATAGCAGAGTTGATATAGCCTGGCACAGTGTGGAATAGCAGAGTGGGTATAGCCTGGCACATGGTGAAATAGCAGAGCCGGTATAACCTGTCACAGCATGAAATAGCAGAGTTGATATAGCCTGGCACAGTGTGGAATAGCAGAGTGGGTATAGCCTGGCACATGGTGAAATAGCAGAGCCGGTATAACCTGTCACAGCATGAAATATTAGAGTTGATATAGCCTGGCACAATGTGGAATAGCAGAGTTGATATAGCCTGGCACAGTGTGGAATAGCAGAGTGGGTATAGCCTGGCACATGGTGAAATAGCAGAGCCGGTATAACCTGTCACAGCATGAAATATTAGAGTTGATATAGCCTGGCACAGTGTGGAATAGCAGAGTGGGTATAGCCTGGCACATGGTGAAATAGCAGAGCCGGTATAACCTGTCACAGCATGAAATATTAGAGTTGATATAGCCTGGCACAGTGTGGAATAGCAGAGTGGGTATAGCTGGCACATGGGTAGAAATATACTTAGAGCAGTATAACCTGTCACAACATGAAATAGCAGAAGTTGATATAGCCTGGCACAGTGTGGAATAGCAGAGTGGGTATATAGCCTGGCATATGAGTGAAATATAGAGGCAGTATAACCTGTCACAGCATGAAATAGAGTTGATATAGCCTGGCACAGTGTGGAATAGCAAGAGTAGGTATAGCCTAGCACATGAGTGAAATAACAGAGCAGTATAACCTGCTCACAGCGCAGAAATATTAGAAGTTGATATAACAGCACAGTGTGGAATAGCAAAATTAGGTATAGCCTAGCACATGGTACAAATACTTAGAGCCGGTATAACCTGTCACAGCATGAAATACTTAGGATTGATATAGCCTTTTAGCACAGTGTGGAATAGCAGGTAGATTTATAGCCTGGCACATGGTGAAATAGCAGAGCGGTATAACCTGTCACAGCGCCAAATAATGCAGAGTTGATATAGCCTGGCACAGTGTGCGAATAGCAGAGTGGGTATAGCCACAGCACATGGTAAACCAGAGCGGTATAACCTGTCACAGCATGAAATATTAAGTTGATATAGCCTGGCACGGTGTGGAATAGCAGAGTGGGTATAGCCTGGCACATGGTGAAATAGCAGAGCCGGTATAACCTGTCACAGCATGAAATATTAGAGTTGATATAGCCTGGCACAGTGTGGAATAGCAGAGTGGGTATAGCCTGGCACATGGTGAAATAGCAGAGCCGGTATAACCTGTCACAGCATGAAATAGCAGAGTTGATATAGCCTGGCACAGTGTGGAATAGCAGAGTGGGTATAGCCTGGCACATGGTGAAATAGCAGAGCCGGTATAACCTGTCACAGCATGAAATAGTAGAGTTGATATAGCCTGGCACAGTGTGGAATAGCAGAGTGGGTATAGCCTGGCACATGGTGAAATAGCAGAGCCGGTATAACCTGTCACAGCATGAAATAGCAGAGTTGATATAGCCTGGCACAGTGTGGAATAGCAAAAGAGTAGATTTATAGCCCTGGCACATGGTGAAATATAGGCAGTATAACCTGTCACAGCATGAAGCCTTGGGATTGATATAGCCTGGCACAGGGTGGAATAGCAGAGTGGGTATAGCCTGGCACATGGTGAAATAGCAGAGCCGGTATAACCTGTCACAGCATGAAATAGCAGAGTTGATATAGCCTGGCACAGTGTGGAATAGCAGAGTGGGTATAGCCTGGCACATGGTGAAATAGCAGAGCCGGTATAACCTGTCACAGCATGAAATAGCAGAGTTGATATAGCCTGGCACAGTGTGGAATAGCAGAGTGGGTATAGCCTGGCACATGGTGGAATAGCACGGTTTGTATAGCCTGGCACAGTGTGGAATAGCAGGGTTGATATAGCCTGGAACAGCGTGGAATAGCAGAGTGGGTATAGCCTTGCACATGGTGGAATAGCAGGGTTTGTATAGCCTAGCACATGGTGGAATAGCAGAGGGGATATATCCTGGCACAGTGTGGAATAGTAGGGTTGGTATAGCCTGGCACAGCATAAAAAAGCAGAGCGGGTATAGCCTGGCACATGGTGGAATAGCATAGCGGATATAGCCTGGCACATGGTGAAATAGCAGGGTTGATATAGCCTGGCAAAGCATAGAATAGCAGAGCGGGTATAGCCTGGCACATGATGGTATAGCAGTGTTGGTAAAGCCTGGCACAGCGTGGAATAGCAAAGTGGGTATAGCCTTGCTCAGCGTGAAATAGCACAGCGGGCATATCTTGGCACATGGTGGAATAGCCGGGTTGGTATAGCCTGGCACAGTGTGGAATAGCAGAGCGAGTATTGCCTGGCACAGCATAAAATAGCAGAGCGGGTATAGCCTGGCACATGGTGGAATAACAGGGTTGATATAGCCTGGCAGAGCGCAGTATAGCAGAGCGGGTATAGCCTGGCACATGGTGGAATAGCAGAGCACGTATAACCTAACACCGCACGGTATAGCAGAGTGGGTATATCCTGGCACAGCGCTGTGTAGCAGAGTGGGTATAGCCTGGCACAGTTCAGTGTAGCAGAGTGGGTATAACCTGCCAGAGTGGGTATAACCTGGCACAGTGTGGTGTAGCAGGGCGGGTATAGCCTGGCACAGTGCAATGTAGCAGAGTGGGTATAACCTGGCACAGTGCAGTGTAGCAGAGTTGGTATAACCTGGCACAGTGTGGTGTAGCAGAGTGGGTATAGCCTGGCACAGTGCGATGTAGCAGAGTGGGTATAACCTGGCACAGTGGAGTGTAGCACAGTGGGTATAGCCTGGCACAGTGAGGTGTAACAGAGTGGATCTAGCCTGGCACAGCATGGTGTAGCAGAGTGGGTATAGCCTTGCACAGTGCGGTGTAGCAGAGTGGGTATAACCTGGCACAGTGCAGTGTAACAGAGTGGGTATAACCTGGCACAGCGCGGTGTAGCAGAGTGAGTATAACCTGGCACAGTGTGGTGTAGCAGAGTGGGTATATCCTGGCACTGCGTGATGTAGCAGAGTGGGTATATCCTGGCACAGCGTGATGTAGCAGATTGGGTATATCCTGGCACAGTGCAGTGTATCAGAGTGGGATAGCCTGGCGAAGTGTAG